AAGTTATGGCTGACTGCTTGAGGCACGTCTATTGTTACTTGAAAATCCCATAAAACTTGACTGGTTTCATACTTGATTTGCGGTTGATCGCCTGTTACTAAAGCACAGTTAAGATACAAAAAGTATGCACAAAGGAAGTGATTAGACGCTCTGGTAGTGATTTTTAACGGTCCTCACGTGTACCATCGGGTTAACTAAGAGGTCCCTGACGCCGAATCTAAATACGACCCAATGACGTAATCGACTGATCAAAGTCTTTTTGCAAACATGCACAGCAACTTTGCTGTTTCTCGGTTCAATGTCATGCATATGCGAGTAAATCTTGATGTTAGCCACCATTTCAAGCCCTACAGCTGCTGATTATTATAATCAACCATCAGCTCTAGTGTTTGCTCTCACGAAGGTTACCAAGATTACGAAGATTACCATTTTATGGCAGCTTACTAAATTATAGGTCGCGTTAAACTAATCGCGGCTCAATGCATATGCCGCCGGCTAAAAACCACATCCTCACNNTGTTTGATCCAACTGTTTGTGCGAAAACTGAGGAGTGCAACAAGAACCTTGCGAAGTACGGACTACAAGAACAATGAGATCACATTGGACGTGCGGTGCATTTGACAGTGGATTTTAATTACTTCCAAACTGAAGTCCGGCTGAGGCAGTAAGGCTTCCAAAAGTTAGCACTCCTGGTTTAAGGAAAGCTTTAGAATCACGGCTAAAGGTGATTGAAGGTTTAGTGATGTATGAAACTCCAACTCATGAAAAGCATTTTAAGAAACCTTTGAAGCTTATTGTTAAAAATAGGTGGTAGTGTGGTAGCGGCCACTGCACTAGTTAATAGCAACAGAATGTTTCTACACATAATCAACATCGGCCGGTCGCGGTTCCTAAAACAATCTACGCGCGGTAGTTCAGGACTCCGTTCAACTTACCTGAGCCACCTATTATCCTACACTATATCCTTTACTCTTGAATTTTATTTACTTCGTTTTCATTGAGTAATTATTTGTGCAGGTAGCTTTTCGGGAAAGACACGTAGCTAATTAAACGGCTACCATAAGATACAAAGATTGACAGAAAGTTAGGTACCGGTGGTTCGGTGCGAAAACTACCTTCGGGACAATAAATATGACTTTTCTCGATTATGCATAGTACCATTGAGCCTTTCGGTGATTTTGATTGTGTGCAGCAACAACAGCTACCATCACAATTGGAGTAAATTGTACTGCATATGTGGCCTTCAATCGCACATAAGCAGGCGAACTGTGTTTGATTCATTCAGTTGTTCGAATAATGGGCTTCTTGCACAGAATGACAACGGCTTTATTTCCAACAAATTCTCCGCACTCATTTTTGCAGAATAACTCATTTGATTTGTTGAGGTGATCTCTTTGCCCTTTCAGACTGTTCGGATTAAATTAGAATCGTCAGAAGCTGACCAATCAGGGAGGTTCTCCAAGTTAGATGAACAGGTAAGTATCAGGTTTTCCTATCTTCCGAGCTTCATATGTCTGATAACTTTTGTGAAATGGAACTGTATTCCTTCGTCTTTTTATGCGCATTTTCGTGTCTGAGTGATGACCAGTAGCTGTTTCAAAAGTTTTCTTTCAAGTAGCGTTCGCTCATACCTAGTCTATGTCACTGTCCTTGTGGGTAGTTTCACCGCTGCCCTAAATCGTTTCTGTGATGATAGAACCACATTTAGTAGATGTTGCCCATGCTCCGTTTGAAATGCTAGTTGATTGCACATTTTCACGTTAGCCGAAATGAGCCAGATTGGCTTCCAAGTCAGTTCGCATCAAAGTCATCTAGTAAAACAGGTTTTCTGTATCTGAGCACATTAGGTGAATTGCTTGCCAAAAATAATTATGTTCCATGACAGGTTCCAACTGACGTCCTCAACGGTGCTGTAGGCTTTTGGTGGGTATTTCACTTTCGGTTAGATGTCAAGCTGATCATCTGTGAATCCATTTCTGGATACTAATTATTACTACTAATTATATATATATATATATATATCATCTGACTACACATAGGATACCGCCACAACAAGGAAAATGAAATTGGAGCCGTTGGGTGTAAATGTATTAAATGTATTAAATAACACTTTTATTTTGTCTTTTCGGTATGTTGCATGGAATTTAAAGAGGCAAACCATACAGCGGTTTCACCACTGGTTTCTCTGTCGTTAATTGGTAAGTATTCAAAAAACATCCTACACAATTAACTTGTAAAGAAATGGGAACTAGGCAGCCTTATGACTCCACTGGAGACGACTAAGCGTGACGAGAGCACTCCATAAATCCTACTCCGACCCAAGACACTATAACAGTACAACTTTCTCAAGATAAACACTTTCGTTAAGTGATTTATTTTCCTAAAAACCGTTCCCTAGTGCAGCTCAATGACTTGGATGAATTGGATGAAATCAAGAAAGACCGTGCAGAGCACCTAGAATTTATTTCGTCCCAATCTTGTTGAAGATATTAAAGTTCAACTAATTTAATATGCTCAGGTGTATTCGGATACCATTTGAACGCATTTTTGTTTATCTCTTGCTGCTAATAATAACTGTGATTTTACGATATCTTTATTATCTCAAAGGTCTCTTCAGTTCGTGGTCGTATCGAGGCCGCCGAACACGCCTTAGAAAGCATACAACAAGCCCGCGATCGGAGTGATTTACTGTGGTCTTCCCGTGTCGCACAATTACAGGCAGAGCTTGACGATTCTCGTGTCTCGGGGGATCAAATCCGGTCCACTCTGAGAGAACGGTTGCAGAAGAGTTTAGAGGCTCAGCAAACGAAAGATACAGAGGTATGTTCAATCTACCCATTGAAGACATGCTTCTGAAATTTCAAGTTTTNTTTGTTCTAGCTTTTCAAATGTTTCATCTTGTTGCAATGAAAGCAGTCGCCCTTTTTTCATCCGAATTTGCAGTCATGATCTATTTTGAGTGATGACAATATCGTACATGCCTATAGTCATCTAGTTCGTGGGAGTCTGACTAACTACCACTCTTCTGAAACTAAGGAAGTATGTCGTTCGATAAACAGGTAGTATTCTTCTGCATAAATTATCATCTCTGCTGTTGGTGCAGTCTCGGTGGTCTTCGATATCAGCAGTCAGATTTCAGAAGTAAAAGATAAGTGCCTCTCTTTTCAAAGGGTATCGCCATAAGGTCGATCCACCGAACATCGACCTTTCAGGCTTTTCTTTCTGACAATTATCACTTGCCTTAAAGATTTCGAGCTATACCTTGACATACTACTACTTATTACTTCCACTTAACCGGTACTAAATGTAGACTTTCGCTTAAGCAACTTATCTTACAACAGTAGTTTATTTTTTCCACTGTAGTTGAGGAAATTACAAACCTTGCTCGACACCGCTAGTCGTGCTGCAGAGGAAAAACTAGAGAAAATCGAACGCTTGGCCAGTGTTCGAGAACAAGCTCTGCAAACCAAGATCGCCCAACTTACACAATCGCTGACGAATACTACACTCGCTAAAGAGTGCTTGGAGGACAAACTTGCACAACAGTTGAAAGCAAACGAGGCCTACCGTAAGGCTACTGAAGATGAGGTTAGTTTTACGATACCTTCATTATCATGGTTGCTGTGCCAAGTACCTCGTTGTGCTAATTACTAATTTTTCTGAATTCCCTCTTCAGCTGGATGAGCTGAGAGACAAATTGAGCACATTGTCAGCTTCCACTGCATGCTCAATTGCGGAAAAAGCTCACGAACACAGTTTAGTTGAAGAACGTTTGAACACTGAGATAGCCCAACTGAAACAACTCAACGAGGAAAAGACACGTCACGCAGCTCAATTGCAAGGCTTTTTGGAAAAATCTCAAGCTCAGTTAACTACACAGTCGCAACAGTTAAAAGATGCCCTAGCTCTGTCAGAGTCGCGTAAAATGGAGCTCAATGATTTGCGATCGGATCATTCGCAAACGAGAATACAACTCCTGGAGCTGCAAGATCAGCGCAACGAAGCCCAAGATCGCTTGAAACATTTAGAACACACTGTCTCCGATCTTGAAACCCGACTATCTGAATCCGACGTAGAACGAACGCGAACCGAAAATCGTTGCACCCGACTTGCTTCACAGATCACGGAGTTGGAAACGCAGATGCAACAAAAGACGGACAGACTTCGTGATCTACAAATATTAATCGATTTCACGCAACAAGAAAAAGCTGATTTTGAACGACGTTCGATCGCCCTGCACGAACAGCTTCGTCAAATGGAATCAGACTGGATGCAAAGTCGGGACCAGTTGGCTCAAACCAGAACAGCTTTGGCCCAGGCTTTACACCAGCAGCACGAGACCACCCTACAACTTATGCAAGTCAAATTCAATTATGCACAGGCAACTGAGCGACTTGCGTTACTACAAGCTGATGATTTCAAAGGTCAGTCCCCATATATGATTAGTACTCATCGTGTAATAAGCTCCATTTTCTACAGTTGTTCTTTTTAGTTCTCTATTCCTCCAAGCCTTCGCCTGTATACTACTTCATTACGGAATTTCTTCACTTAAATTAGCTCAGATCTTCTCATGAAAAGACGAAAGTAGAAACTTCGTGCTGGTATTTTCATTATTGTGATTGTAAAGCTCACTTTCAGCTTCATTCATCTCAGTTTCACACTTTCTGGTCGGGGTTTTTGATGCGGTTTTATCACTCTGTACTTAAATATGGTGGTTTGCTGATCACTTTCACTGCCTGCTTAATTATTCTGACAATTTAGTTTATGATTTTTTATGCATTGTATCGCTTTATAGCAGAAAATATTACGCCGTCTAGTTATAATTTATTATTTACTGTCGTTTATTATCCCTTTAAGTTATTAACAACTATCTCATATATAGATAATAAGAATTTTGCCGTTTACCCGTGGTTGTTATACGCTATTCGGAGGTTGCTTTAAAAAAACTGTTTCAAAAATGCGAGCATGCAGTTTGTTGTCATCATTCCCAGTTGAACAAAAAAGTAAACTTGCCCAATGTCCATATTGTATTCAACGTCTGCAGCAGTGCTTTACGGTGTCGGTACTTGACCATTGAGGGGACAGGTTAAAAATAGACTGTCGGTGTTCGAACACAGCTGTCTACACCACATTGCACGTCTCTGGTAAGGAAACCAGAAAGGCGATGCTGCGGTTACGTCTAGAGCTTTAGGTGATCGTTGTCACCCACTGAGCCAATTGGTCAACCTCCATAGATTACACTGTTTGGGGCATATGTTGCGCACGCCACCAAATAGGTTGCCGCGGCGGGTGATATTTGCCGATGCAAGCAATGGATGGAAAAGGGTCAAGGGCGGTCTGACTAAGATCTGACATGAGCGTATGGATAACCTAACTAAGAGACTCGGTCATATAAATTGTTCTACTCATTCCTGCAACCCTAGTATATATGAATTCTCAAATCTCTTTGACCGCTCTCAGCATTCCACTCTTCTGCTCGTTCGTCCAAATGGGCAGCCTCAGAACAGCAGCCACGCTCGCCGCACAAAGGTGCATAGTTANGCATAGTTAACGGTTCTAGAAACAGAAACTGAAACCGAGTCAACATCTTAGTACAGTTATTTCCCAGATTGACTTCCTTTTGGACGGCTAACCAAATTCATGCAACGTTTTACCTGTTCTCTTCGTTCAGTTCGACGAGCTTTCCGCTCTGCTCTGGCCTTGTATCCTCATTCGCGTCCAACCAGTCTTCACGACTGTTCCACAGTTATTGACACCCCTTTACACGAGGTTTCAACCATTTTTGACAACCCGGTATCTGACCGACTGCACATGTCTACCTCCGGAATAATGAGTTGCACAATGACGGCTCCGGTTGATCGATTGGATACCACGGAGTCCGAAGGAATTGATGGGACTAAGCGATCATTGTCCCGTACCTCAGACACAAATCGAGAGGAAGTGGCAGTGCAAACAAACGGCACCCTGGTTTCGCGTCGGGATGCTCAAGTTTCTTGTTCCGTCGGTCGAAAGTTCAGTGCGTTGTTATTTTCACTCCTCTCATATTTGTCTGTAGCTTAAATTCTCTATTAACGTTTTANTATATATATATATATAACACCGGCTTGAGAACAAGCTTGGTGCCAACGCCATAATATTAACTATACCAATAACGAGGGTGTGTGTGTGTGTGTGGTACAGAGTATAGGGAAAAGATGTAGCTGTCAGAATGGGATATTACGAATAAGTGGAATAACAATTTCTTGGGGTGTTTCACCGTACACTTTTTGAATTTTTGTTGTTGTTTGTGGTTTTTACGGGGCACAGGATTTCGACAGGCAGACCGTACAGCATGGTTGAGATTGTTAATGAAGAAGCATTTATGAGCATAGCACTGGGCTAATTGCTTTCCATTTTGGTAGCATTGTTGTCTGTCGTACTACTTCGCTTTCCAATACGAAGAAGGTACTTAACTCAAATTCACCCTGAATCTTAGCTATAAGCCTGTGCACCACACAGTGTGGCGATGCTTCGAATCCGTAATCTATTGGAGACCGATGTCCCGATGATTGGATCCTACACTTGTGACGGCGCTCCTACATCCATCTTGCTCAACGCACCCATGTCCCCGAAAGCACCGGTGACTGTGTATCTAATAGTTCCAGGATAGTTCATACGCCTCACTACGGGGGTTTAAAATGGGGGTCTTATCAGCTCCTGTACCTGTTGTTACGTTCGCCAACGATGATCTGACTCCGTATGTCGGTTTTTAACCGTCTCACTCCAGTGAAAATAACCCGCGTGATGAGGCCATGAGTATTGCTCCAGCCAGGAATGGAGAACTGTCCACGAACACGCGCGAACATAACTGCATCGCAGTCTGTATTTTAACTTGCAAAGGCTAAAGATTCTGCGTGAACAAAATCCAGGTGATTCTGAGGAAATCTCTTGGATCAAACGCGCATAAATATGCAGTATCTTTTGAATATACCGCATTTATTTTGAGTTGTCAGTTTCACCAAGAAAAAGGTACAGGTATTAATTAGCATCAAAACGGTTGTAATTTGTAGTCTTTTGATCGTTCATTCTACATCCAAATCGTGTTTCTTTTACACAACTCCATTCTTTATCGATTTTATTGTTTGGATGTCAGTATTTCATTTGATTCATTTGAATTCATTATTTTTTTCGCAACCTCTTTAACCACCAGCTGAGTGTGGTCTCAAGTCCGTCCTGTGGCCTCCATATGCAGACGTTACTGCTCCAGTCAGTCCGGCCGGTTTACGTAACAATGACGTGCTTTCAGGTGCTTCCCCGCAACGACATTTGCGCCGCTTCTGTCGTTTGATCATAGCTCCGGATGAAGAACAGACAAATATGCCTTTAAACGACATGCTTTCCCGGCCAATACCTCAGGATGTTGAAGTGGATAAAGAGGCTGGTGAACCAGTTTTTTCCAGCCCATCTAAGAGAAGCCGTACGTTCATACATTATAATATTTCCATTATTTTGGATCGTTTTATAGTAATGCCGAACTTAGCTGGTAAACACATTTTATATGTATGAAGGAGCTGATACTTTACCGCCTCTCCTCATTTTTTATTTCAACACGTAACCAGTTATAGAGAACTGGAAAATATGCCACAACATATGAACAAAAAAATCAGTAGAGTGTGTTCATAGCTTGTGTGGGCATGTGACTTCCCGATTGCCCTGACCGAGGAAGGGGGATAACCTCGGGATCCCCATCCGAAGCATTTATCTAGAAAGCCATGCCTGCAAGAAAACAGGACGGAGCTCAGAGTTTCCACTCCATTGGAAGCCGGTGTCCAGTTCATTGGATCATACGCCCTTTGGACGGGGTCAAACGTCCAAGGTGCATAATATACTTTGATACCCAATCGAGCCGGTGACCACTGCCACAACCAGGAAGGTGTGCGTGTGGTTTGTACGCCTTTTCATGGCTTGTTTGGAATTAGTGTTTTTAGCCAATTCCCTAAGGTGAACCGCCAATGGTTTCAGAACCCGGTTATAGCTCCGGATGTCGGCTTTTCATCCTCTCACTTTGGTGGGAAAACACCTCCGCCACGATAAGTCAGTGAGTAGGGC